ATTTCCAGTAACGCTGTGAGGAACCTTGGAGTCATTTTTGACCAGGACATGTCCTTCAACGCACATATTAAACAAATATGTAAGACTGCTTTCTTCCATTTGCGCAACATCTCTAAAGTTAGAAATATCCTGTCTCAGAGTGACGCTGAAAAACTAGTTGATTTATTTATTACTTCTAAGCTGGACTCCTGTAATTCATACGGAAGAGGATTAGAGCCACTGGGAAAAAAAGTGGGCTCGTCTTTTTTTCTTCTTCTTTTCCAGAATTCTGAGAAAGAAGTCTGAATTCTGACTTGAATTCTGACGTGCCCACTTTTTTTTTTCCAGTGACCCTAATCCTCCGCAAATTCATTATTATCAGACTTTCCCCCCAAAATTCATTTTTCTTTTAGGACTGTTCCCTGAACAGAATTCAGTTAATCCAGAATGCTGCTGCATGATTACTGAAAAGGGCTAGAAAGCATATTTTGCCCATACTGGCTTCTCATTATTTGATCCTGTTATCTCCAAAGTCAAATTTAAAATCCTTCTACTCACTGTTTTCCTCCCCTCACCCCCAGACGATCGTAGCAGATGGCCCCGCCCCTCCCTGAGCCTGGTTCTGCCGGAGATTTCTTCCTGTTAAAAGGGAGTTTTTCCTTCCCACTGTCGCCAAAGTGCTTCCTTAGTGGGTCATATGATTGTTGGGGGGTTTTCTTTTTTTTGTGTGTTTATCTTACAACATAAAGTGCACTGAGGCAATTTGGCACCATATACTTCTTTATTTCTGTGTATATTATCTAGACTATTTCATGATCAGTAGATTTGTTATGCATGGATTTGATAAGAAAAGTAACACAGTTGATGTTTTTGGTTTTTGCAGTGTGTCGAAGCAGCACGCAGTAATCCCCAGCCAGGTTTTTGAGTTAGAGGATGGCAGCAGCAGCTATAAGGACTTTGCTATGACCAGAAACAATCGCTTTAGCAGTGCCGGACAAGCCTCCAAAAACATCATCCAGCCTCCATCTGCAGTGTTGCACTACTATAACGTTCCTCCGTGCATATCACAGGATCATTTACTGAGGGTAAAGTACTTCTGTCTGTTCGCTGTCCGTCTTTTCTGTGTAACTGTAAAGAACTGTTTAAAGGTATTCCAAACCTCCTAAAACATTTTCTATCCTATCATACAGAGATGTATCCAAAATCTACTTCATAATTTCTTGTTTTTTCCTGAATTAATATGATTATTATCTTGGAAATTCCAAAAAAACCCCATTGTTATTAAGAAGACTGCCCTGTTTTTCTGAATTAACAAGATATCCTTAAATGCCCAAAGATCCTCTCTTGAGTTGAGCCTGATTTCTTGAGCAGTCTTTGCCATAAAGAAATCCACTCCCACATTGTATAACAAATGCTGATAAGTTGTATGTTTAATTGTTGCCTAGTGCAGAACTGCTCACACGCTGCTGTCTGTGTTTCTGTAGCTGTGCACGGAGCATGATCTGCCTGGCTTTGTCAAATTTAAGATGTTTGATGCCAAACGTAAGTAGACATTTGATTGAACAGATGAAGTCTCGTGAATGTGGTCATCGCCTGCCTTTTAATGTTCAGTCTCTTTTTTCAGCCTCTTCTAAGACCATCTCTGGCTTGTTGGAGTTTGACAGTAAGACAGAGGCTGTGGAGGTTCTTACTGTTCTCAACCACTACCAGATTAGGATTCCCAGTAAGTCCATGAGAAAAACATCCATCACTGCCTACTCTGTCAGTCTCATGCTGGAAACTTCACAAATAATTCCTGAATGTGGAGCTGGAAAATACATCTGAAGTAGAAAAAATTATTTTGTAAAAATTATTTTGTGAAATTTAAACAGTTAATGCAGTTAATGTTAGTTTAATTCCTTGAGGATGAAAGTCTGCACTGTGGACTTCCTGCTAACCTCTAATTCTGTTAAATAAATAATAAATCCTGTTTTCATGGACGCCTGGATGTTAAACTTAATCGTTACACCTGGTAAAGCAGCAACGCAGATCATTTAATTAAAGATGAAAGAATTCAGACAGTTTTCAATGCTCAGTGATGCCACAGTGTTCGTTTGACTTTGGGACCTGAAACGGACGGAGTTTAGGACCCAGATTACCCCGCGAGGCAGCCGTAATGCGGCTTCGTAGCTACCAAAGTTGTACTAAAATATTTTTGACAGATTTCTGAGCGCTGTGTAGCACATAACATCGGTTCGAGGTCAGTAAGCACAACCAGAATTCATACATAAGGCGCACTGTTGATTTTCGAGAAAATTAAAGGATTTTAAGTGCGCCTTATAGTGCGGAAAATACGGTACTAACCATGCTTTACATTTTATACTGCACTGTCACATCCTCAAATTAATGTAATTTTATTTACATGGCATCAAATCCTAAACTGTCCTCCAGGACACTTGCCATAGTAAAGTGAAGAGCTAAGTCCTTTTAGCAGCGCATGGCTCTCTTTTAATATGAAGAGCTCTTAGAAATGTTCTCTCTAAGCTGCGCACGTGCGCAATTGCGCACTGCTGGCATGGTGTCTGCACACAGAAAATATGCGTTGCGCACAAAAAAAAACTGAATTGAAATTAAAATTAAAAGTTTAACAATTCTGTTTTGCAGTGTTTTGCAGTGCACCAGTGTTGTAGCTAGCAAAGCGGCTGATGTGGAGTGAAGCCACGTTACAACCATTGGAGATGTGAGCAGGACAGACGGAACAA